TTATCACACATTTCGTGCATAAATGAAATAAACATGGACAAAATAATTCCATTTTGAAAAAATAAAGTGTTTTTACAGAAGGATTTCATCTCAGCGTGTTTTATTAACGTTTGGGGCCTTGTTCTCGACACATAAAACTATGATATATCAGGTTTTTTAGACCGGCTTCCATAATTAAATCTACCTCAGTCTACTCCAATCACAATCGTGCAATTACAGACATGACACGCTGATCGGTAGTCGTCCATCTAAATAATAAACATTCTGTTTTTGAGGGATTTTACTATTCTAGATGACGAACTATTACACAACCACGTTACGTCATTGTGACGTCACATATTTCCTTCCTTCATATGGACTTGACGTTGAGGCTGACATAAGTTAGAATCCTCGTGCCTAGTCTGACTTGGTGTGTAATACATGTACGTCACAAATAACATTTGCCATCTGCAAACATACTCTTTCTGTTTCACCTGTACATTTAGTCTAACATATATGCGTGAGTGGCGCCCTCGCCGGTTGAACGGCATCATACCCCACTAACGCCTGACAGAGTAGTCTATGTCTCGTTAGCCTGACGTGTAGGCGAGAGTAGCGCCTTCGCTGGCCGAATGGCATCAGCCCAACTGCTGTGTGTTGTGTTAGGAGCACCGAGAAGGGTGCAACTCACGCGACCTTGTCAGGCTCTTGTACATTCGTTCAGGCGTAAATCTCATGAAAAGACAAATGGATTACCGTCAATTGAAATAATTCAGCAGAGACCAACGCTGTTTTAAATTCATTTATTAATTATTAGTTAAGTATAAGAAGACCGCATGATTATATACACCAAATTGTGACGTCATTCATCGCATGATACACCAGCCATCAATAAACCTCTTCAAAATGAACAGGAATAACCTGACAAAAACAAACAAAAACAACGTAATTAGGGAAGTGGTAGGCTCGTTCGTATATTTCGTCCGTTTGTGATCGAATCGAAAACGGCCGTGCAACTATCTTGACGTGGAAACGAGGTTATCCACTGGTGGATTTAGAGGCACAGGGAGCGCGTGGGGTTCGTTTACTCATACATGTTTGGGGGGGGGGGTACTCACGTTGGAGTGCTATATGTATATGTGCCGCCAAAAGGGGTCCCAAATTCACCACTTCTGTCTGAAAAGTGGTATGTTATTTTACCCTGTCTGAAAAGGGATATCCTTTTTTCATTTTTTCTGTCTGAAAAGGGGTGAATATTTTCCAAAGACTATCTCTAGGGCTTGAATGATCCAACAATCATGAGAATGAAGCTGATTTTTTCTGTAACTTGATTTCGATCGTCGAAGTCCATCCCCGGGAGTACACCTGCTTTTTCCTTGGTACCATTTATGCTTACTGTCTAGAAAGGGGTGTCAAATATCCACAGTTTGTCTGAAAAGGGGTAGGCAGTTTGAGTTTATTTCTGTCTGATAAGGGGTAGGGGTTTCAAACAACTAGCTACACACCCCTGTCAGTATTTTTTTGCAAGCACTCCCCCCGCCGAGTATGTACCACAATGCAATGCGGCAATGATGTTGCTGTAAGCGTGCGCCCTTCTTTATACTGAACATGGTGCATCCGCCACTGCTGTCACCGTATTAAAAAAAATACAAGACATCACAAAGACATTAAAACAAATCATCACAAAACCAATATTCGAAATTAGGTTCCTCACTTCAGAATTTACAGAACGACTATTTCACTCGCGTTACTTCTGCATCCGACCGAACACCGAACATTACGTACTTTCTAAGTTAGACATGTTTGAGTACACTCGAAATATAAATAGTTAAACATCAAAATCAATAGAAAATACGTCGACGATAAACGGTGAATTAGTATCAATCACGAACGCCGTTTCTTTCGTGTTTTTGTTTTGTTTTTTGCAGGGGTGAGCGTAAGTTATTCTACAAATGATCATAAAAACGTTTCCACTTTGGAACACAGCGGGCGCTTGGCATTTTACGCGTTCTTGTAGAGTAAACAAACAATGTATATCACATGCGTTATTCATTGTACCATTTTAGTTATTAGATGATTCAGAAATACACGCCCATGAGTATATTTTATCTACAAGTTTCTGAGATATTTTTGATCGTTATAGGTGTTTTAGTAAATTGAAATATAATTACTTTGTTGCATGGCCGTGGTTAATTCGTAGTAGTGACATTTAGTGTGAAACATTACTGGTATTTTACACTAAACGTGGGTATATGCACACTGAACTTAAAAAGTCTGTATGTGTTGGAACATTACGTAGTGTTTTAACGGCATTCCTTTTATCGCTGCAATAACAAAACAATAAGTCGAATGGTGTAATGGCAATGACACATAATGACGAAAAAAAGTTTATAATTAGCATAAATTATATCACTTATTTGCAGAACTGGTTGATACTTGGTCCATGACGTCACTCGTATCAATCAGCTCTACAAACAAGCAAGGTGGCTTTATAAGATGTTATTGTGAGATATGCGAGTTACTTTTATCTTATAAGTACTCAAGTTATATCAGGTGATAACCTCATAAAATTGCAAATAAATATGTGTGAAGTCGTCCATTAACGAACAATCATACAATATGTTGACCCATGAAATACGTAAATATTAAGAAAACACAGTGACTTACAGGACACTGATGGACAGTCCCCTTGAGAAAAGAAGCATTTAAAGCAGTTGCATTCTGCAGCGGATGGACCAAGATTCATTGACTGAAGCACCATTTCAGAGTCACTGCTGTCCAAATTCAGGTTCACGTTCAGCCGATGGACGGTAATTCCTATGATTTGAACAATAACAATCCATTTTCAGTTTTGTAAGATTACATTTTAGAAATCTGCGAATGTTTCAGTTTATGTAAAATAAACACAAATCGTCGTTGAAAGCCAACCACAACTCCATAGCGAATGGACACCATCCGTATACACACTTTACAACGGTCGGTGTGGTTTTGCTCACGTATGTTTTACAATTTTAAAATACGAATAATGATGAAATTGACGCCCATCTCTGAGCGGAATAGTCAGCGTGTACACAAAGTAACGTGGGAACCACACACTCAAAACTATTACACATAGGTGGATTTGTGGATGAATTGATTTTTACCTTGAGCTCTTTCTACGAAAGCGACAAAGGCTATCAACAGACAAAGCAGCTTCATGGTGTCAACTGTGTACAGAGAAAATACGTTAAACTTTATATTAGCATATATATATATATAAATATAAATATATATTGAACATAATCCACCACATCTCAATAAACTTCGTCAACTTCTGGTCTTCTATTATGTATGTTCTAAGTTGGAATTTCCAGTTTCTACTCAAGACAAATCACCACAGAGCACTAACCTGAACAGCATTCAGCTGAATTTATTTGAGAAATTTTCCTGTCGTTGTTCAATACTCAAGTTATGAAACGAAATACATAGCCCTGAATACCGCAACTATCTAAATACAAGTGGATACTCTGAATTGTATTATAGTATCACTGGGAAAAAGAAACTTGTCCAGGCCTCATGGAGGCAAATGAAAAATAAATACACACAAACTGTTAAAATGAAATCGACAAATTAAACGACATCCACCCCCAATTAAAGAACACCGCATTCGAATAAATCCGAAATAGGAACACGATGACCATTGATGACTAAAATGAAACAAATGTGTGTATGCATCAACTCACAAAACAGAACTGACGAACATCGCTAACCCATCATATGTGATATTCACACAAAGTTAGCAGACATTTAAAATTTTAAAATCAGTGAAATTATATCAAAATCCAAAAATAACCACTATTTCTTGTCTCTGTGTCAAATATGAAGAAAATCTGCAAATATCCATGTGAGTAATCGATAAAATACTTCGGAAGAAAATTGGTGAAATCGGCCATTTTGTATTAAATCGCGAAATAAAAATACATGTATAAGTCAATATTAAGTTTGAATGTTTGCGACAAAAACATTTCCGAGAAACAGTTAATGTTAAAATGTTAAAATGTTGATTGTAGGTGTATTTTTATCAGACAAAACAGATCGCTAGTCGCCGTTAAA